CGAATCTCGTCGTTCCTAGCTCCAACTTCGTGAGCAAGCAAGCAAGTACTGTACCTCTTAGTTTTGACCCATCCATCTTGGATTGTAACGATGCACCCCCATAAGTGCATCATTCCCGGCAACACCAACTCGCCGGATGCCGCTACGGTGACCCCGGTCACCGTATGCGATGAGAGCGCGGTACGCTCGAAATATAACAAAAGCATAATTTCAGGCCGCGAGACTTCCAAGTCTACGAAACCCGAGCGTCGCCGAACGACGCCGAGCGCCGCCGTTCTCGCTCGTATTGTTCCACGCCGAGAGTCACCGAATGATTCCGGAACAATACGAGTGGGAGCAACAATCCGGTATAAAAGCCCGGCGAACAAATATTTCGGGCTTTTTGCTCCTAGTTCCAGCTCCTAGAAAACCGACCGCTTCCTAGAGATCCGAACTCCTGAGCAGTACTGCGGTGGTGAGGGAATTCTCCGCCACTACCGGCATTTACCGGTCCGAGACTGCACTCAACTCCGCTCTCCGCTCACCGCTCATTGCTCGCTCCTCGAACCGTTTCGCTGCACCGCGGTGGTAGGGCTCGCCCTGCCTCTGTCGGCCGTTTCCGACCAGCTGCAGCGACCGCTCCGAGAGCCTTGCAACAAGGCGACCGAGACGAGAGTTCCGCTTTTCCGCGCTATGCACGACCGGCTTCGACAAGAACCAGGGGGTTGGCTTTTGCCCGCCTCCGTCGGACGTTCCCGACAGTCAAAGTCGTGCCGTACAGCAAAGCTAACGCAGAAAGCGCATCCATCGGGGCGACATATCGCTCCTCGCGTTGCGACGCGTCGCGTGAACATCGCGACGCACGTGCTGGCGGTGTAAGCCCGCGTTCCGCGCACCCCGCGTCACCGAGCGATTCACGCGACCACGTTCGCACTGCGAATCGTGCCCGCCGCCCACACACATACGCACTACACATACACACCGCACACTCGCACCGACACATTGTATACACACACATACACACCGCCGTCAGCAAACACACCAGCCGCGACAAA